ACTGAAATTGAGTTATTCTACAGTTCTACATCTTCCTGATTCAGCTTTGGTAATTCATATGTTTCTGGGAATCTGTCCATTTCTTCTGTGTTATCGAACCTCACATAGAGTAAAGATTTTTGAAGTAGATATTGACGATCTTCTGTGTTTCCAAAGGGTACATTGTAGATTTCACCCTTTTCATTCCTTATTGCATGAATTTGAATTTTTTCTTTCCTTTTTAAAATAAGGTTGGTTAGGGGTTATCAATTTTATTTATTCTTTCAAAGGACCAACTCTTTGATTCATTAATTCTTTGTATTGTTTTCTTAATCTCAATTGTGTTAATTTCTGCTCTTTATAATTTTCTCCCTTCTTTGGGCTTGACTTGCTCTTCTTTTTCTGGGGGCCTGAAGAGTAGCATCAAGTTATTTACTTGGGTTTATTCTGTTTTCTTGATGTGAGAATTCACTGCAATAAATTTCCCTCTGAGAACTGCTTTCATTGCATCCCATAGGTTCCAGTAAGTTGTATTTGCATTTTTTTTGCTTGTAGATATTGTTTTAAATCTTCTTTAATTTGTTCTGCAACTCACTGATTGTTCAGGAGTGTGTTATTTAATTTCCATGTGTTTATAGAGTTTTGAAATGTCTTTTGTCATTAATTTCTAGTTTCATGGCACTATGATCAAATAATATATTTATAGCTATTTTGGTTATATGGGATAATTTTGGTTATATGGGAAATTAATATAGCTATTTTGGTTATATTAATTAATATAGCTATTTTGGTTATATGGGATAATTTTGATTCTTTCTCATTTACTTAGGCATGTCCTATGGCTTTAGTATATGGTCTATTTTAAAGAATGTCCCATGTGAAGCTGAGAAGAATGTATATTCTGATGTTGTTTGTTCACAAGTTTGATTCAGTTCTGTTATTTCTTTGCTGATTTTTTGCCTAGTTGATCTGTCTGTGTCTATAGGGTGTTAAGATCTCCAATTATAAGTATGTTATTGCTTATTTGATTTTTCATTTCTATTACTGTTTGTTTTATATAGCTAGGTGCTCCCATATTTGATGTCTATGTATTTAAGATTGTTATCTCTTCCTCTTGAAATTTTCCCTAACCAGTGTTAGTGATCTTCTTTATCTCTTTTGATCATTCCTGGTTTGAAGTTAATATTGTCTGCAAACAGACTAGCTATCCCTGCTTTGTTGTGTTTTCCATGGCATGAAGTATTGTTTCCATCCTTTGACTTTTAGTCTATGAATTGCCTTTTGGGTTAGATGGGTTTCTTGTATATAGCATATGGTTAGATGTTGTTTCTTGATCCACTCTGCCAGTCTGTTTCTTTTAATTGGTGAATTGAGGCCATGAGTGGCTATATAAGTGATATATATCATGTCATGTTATCTTTCTGCCATTTGTTCTTTACTTTTTCCCTCTACTTAATTGTTTGCCCTGCTTGGTGATTTTTTCTGTTGGTGTTCTTGAAGTCATAGTTATTTTTATATGTCTACCTAGACTATCTTCCAGTGTTCTTTTTAGAGTTGCTTTGGTGTTCATGAAGTTTTTCAGCTGTTCTTTGTCATAAAAGTATCTTATTTCTCAAGCAATTTTGAAGAGTGGTTTTGTAGGCTACATCAATCTGGGTTGAAAGTTGTTTTCCTTTAGGATTTGAAATACTTCACTCCATGCTCTTCTTGACTTTGTTGTCTATGTTGAGAAGTCTGATATGATTCTGATTTGCTTTCCTTTATAGGTGATTTGTTTCTTCTCACAGCTTTTAATATTGTGTTCTCACGTTGAATTTCTGGGATGTTGGTTATTATACGTCTGGATATAGATTTATTTTGGTTATAGCTAATTGGTATTCTACATGCTTTACTTAGCTGTGTGTTAATTTCTTTTCCCATGTTTGGGAAATTTTCTGCAATTACTTCTGTAAATAGTCTTTTTATCATTTGTGTTGTCACCTTTTTTGTTTATACCTATCGAACTTATTTTTTTTTGCATTGCCTTGCAACATTTGAATTATTATTTCCTGGTTCCTTGTTATTTTTAAAAGATCTTTCCTTTCCTATTCACTAGCTGCAGTCTTGTCTTCAAGATCTGAAAGTCTATCTTCACATTCATTCAGGCAGTTTTTGCTAGCTTTTGATAGAATTTTTGATTTCCTGGATATCTCTCTGAATCTGTTTCATACATTCTTTCTTATATTTTTCATTCAAGGTTTCCATTATTTTGCAATGCTTCTCTATTTTTTAACTATCTTTTTAAAGATGTGTTTAGCATTTCTTTCATTATGTTTATCATTTCTTCTTTTACCTGATTTGATTTCCTGTACAACTTTATGGATTTGCTTTTTCTTTTCTTTTTTTACTTCAGTTGCTATCATTTCAGAAGTTTCAGGTGTGTGATTTATACTTTCATCTACGTCCATGTCTCCTAGGCCTTTTTGGGGTAGGCTGGAGATTTGAGGTTTAATTTTGATGTTTTGTTTTGTCATTTTCCAGTATTCACATGGGGCAACTGAATGCAAAGTCTCAGTTGTATCCTGGGTTGAGGATGGCTGTCTATACTGGAGGGAGTTTCCCTAGCTGAGAAGGGGTCATTAGGCAGACTTTAGCAGGTCCTGAGAGGCACTTGGAGGCTCCCTGAATGGGTGGAGTATGCTGGGAAGACCTTCAGCATGACCCACATGGCATGCCAAGGCTCCCTGCCTGATTGGGGTCACTGGGCAGGGCCCTACCAGATCCTGAGTGGCCACCAAAGTTGCACAACTAGGTGGAGTATGCTGTGTCAGGCCTTCAGTTTGCACCACACAGCACACCGATGCTCCCCGGCTGCTTGGGGTCACTGAGTGGGGTCCTATCAGGACCCAAGAAGTACACCAAGGCTGCACGGCTAGGTGGAGTATGCTGTGCAGGCCTTAAGCTCACACCACGCAGTGCACTGAAGCTCCCTGGCTACCAGGTTTGGAGCAGCACACCAAGACTGCATGGCTAGATGGAGTACACTGTGTAGGCCTTCAGCTTGCACCACGCAGCACACTGAAGCTCCCTGGCTCATAAACAACATTCTTCTAAGCAATCCTAGTGTCAAAGTTGTGAAGTAAATTTGAAAATATTTTAACTCAAACTAAATTTTAAGACAACACATAAAAAAAGTGTGGGATATAGCTAAAGCAAAGCTTTGAGAGGTATTTAGAGCATTAAATGTTTGTATGAGGAAAACTTCTCCGTGATCTACGCTTCCAGTTTAAGAAACTGGAAAATCAAAAGCAAATTAAACCCAACACAAGTAGAAAGGAAAATTAAGAGTACACTGAGATTCTACCCCAGGAAGAATGGTTATCATAAAAGAATCTAGTAATAACAAATCATGGTGAAGGTGTGAGGGAGCATGAACTCTGCTGCATTGTTGGGAAGGTAAACTAGTACAATGACTCTGGAAATTGGTATGGAGATTCCTCAGAAAACTAAAAATAGACGTTTAATTTTACCCAGCTCTCTCTCTTCTAGGTATCTTACCAGGTGAGTTAAAAATCATCATATTATGGGGCTACGTGTATAACCATGTTTATAGCAGCATAATTTATAATAGCTTCATCTTGGAAACAGTGTGTATGTCATCAATTGATGAGTGGGTAAGAAAAATGTATTTACACACAATGGAATACTACGCTGCCATAAAAAGATAAACTTGAAGCACTCATAGGTATATAGATGCACCTTGAGAATATAATGTTAAGTGAAATAAATCAGACACACCAGCTCAAATGTTGTATAGTTTCTTTTATGAGAAGTGCAAAGAACAAAATAACAGAGAAATAGGAAATAGGAAGAACTTCAAATACTTTCCCAAACTACATTGACATTGTTTTGAACATATTTCAATATACTTTATATGCTAATAGGTTTCTATTACACTACTAATTTATTAGTTCATTGAAAAAGAAGATTTATGTCATTATATGTTTCTTTTTTTGTAAGAATCTTTTTGGTTTATGTTTTGTACTCTGAGTAACTACTTTGAAGATAACCATACCCCATATAATAACTATTATTATTCTTATATGATTATAAAATTTTTTCATAAAAATGGAAGCTAATCTGAACATTCAGGGAACCTCAGGCAGGACTGCAAATTGGAGCCTCACTGGAGCAACTTAGTGACTTGGTGAGGCCCCATCTCAAAATAAAACAAAATGGCTGTGGGAATAGCTCAGTAGCCTTAGATTCAATTCTGATTACTAGGGGGAAAAAACTGACTGGGTGGCTCAGGCAATAGAAATTTATTTTCTCTGTCTGTTCTGGAGGTTGGAAGTCCAGGATTAAGGTGCTGACAGTTTTCTCTTAAGGCCTGAGGCTTGTCAATGGCTTCAGTGTGTACACATCTCTGTGTGTGCTCCTTTTCTTACAATCAGTCACAGTGGATTAAGACCAACTTTAATAGCCTTTTAACTCAATCCTCTTTAAAGACCTTATCTCCAAAACAGTCACTATCTAAGGTTGGGAGTTTGGGTTTCAATATGTAATTTTAGGGGAGCATAAGTCAATCCATAACAATATGCACAGACAGGCATAAGGAATCTATACTCATATTTTGAGTCCTAATAAATGAGACAGCAAAGTTGCAAGATGTAAGATTAGCACACAAAAATTAATAGCATTTCTATATACTAACCTCAAAGTATGGACACTGAAATTAAAACAATTCCACTTGAAATCACTCCAACAATTTCAAATACTTAGGTAGAAATCTAAGATGAAGTTATATGCTAAAAATCACAGAATACTAAACACAGTGTATCAGTAAAGAGCTAAATAAATGGATAGACATACTGCATTCCTGGATTGGAAGAATCAACTTGGTAAAAAAAAAAGTCAATTTTCCCCCAAAGTGATGTAAATCCTTTACACCATTCCCATTAATATCTTAGCAAGATTTTTTGTAGATATAAATATACTTACTCTAAAATATATGTGGAAAATAAAGGACCCAGGTAAAACAATTTTGAAAAATAAGAAATGGAATACTTTTACCATGTAGGTTTTATTAACATTTAGCGGTGGTGATACTTGCCTTTCAGGATACGAGTATAGAGGTGTACATGTCAGCAAAGCATATACCTAGACCATGGATAAGAGATGGTGAGCTTAGAAAATGTGAGGTAAAATGGCATAACCAGTTTACAGCACAGTTTAGCAGTTTCCCAAAAATGTTGAACATTCACCTACCTTTAAACAAAGGCACTGCCTTCTAGATAACAGTTCATAAGAAATGAAAGCATGCACCCACACAGAGATCTGTACATTCACGGTTACAGAACTTTAAATTCAAATAGGCAAAAGTAAGGAAGAGTATTTCAAGAAATAATGGCTAAAATCTCCCCATGTGAGATGAAAGAACGAAACATTCAAGGACTCCAGGAAGTATGAATTTAAACAGACACTACTCATATAATCAAACTGTTGAAAGGCAGTCAGATAATATCAAAAGCAAGAAATATTATATTCAAAGATAATCAGCAGATTTCTCACCCAAAACCTTGGAGGCCAGAAGAAAGTGAGTGCATTTGTGCAAAAACACTTAAAGAAAAGCACTGCCAACTAAAGAGTCTTCATCCAGCAAAACTCAAATATGAGGGGAAAATCAATGTCTCCTCACCTGAAGCAGTTAATTATCAAGACTTTTTCTACAAGAGATGCTAAAGGAAGACTTTCAGTTTGAAAGGAGTTACCAGACAGTAACTGAAAGATCCGTAGTAAATTTATGTGAAATTTGTTAAGTGTATATTACTGTAGCTTTGGTTTACAACTCTCCTTTCTGTTTTCTGCAAGATTTAAAAGACTATTGCCTTTTAACAGAACAATGATTAACCTATGTTTTTTGGACATAGAATATAGAAAGAGGTAATTTTGTCACATCAGTAACTGAAAGTGTTAGGCATGGAGTTAAGTTAAACAGTTTTTCTGTTATTAAAATTAAGATGGTATAAATTAGCTGGGTATGGTGGTGCACACCTGTAATCTCATCACTTGGGAAGCTGAGGCAGTAAGATCTCAGTGAGTCTGAGGCCATAGTGAATTCAAGGCTAGTCACAACAAGTACATGATGAGACCACGTCTCAAAGAAACCCAAAAGACAGTATATTTGTATGAGGAACTTAGAATAGTCAAATTCAAACAGAGAGAAAACAGAATGGTGGTTTTCTGAGACAAGGATGGGGAAAGAATGTGGAGTTATTGTTTAATGGGCAAATGGTTTCAATTTTTCAAAATGAAATCTGTAGGTGAATCATGGTGACAGTTATTAATAATATGAACATATTTAATACCACTGCATGTGCACTTGGAAATGGTTAACATGATTTTTCTATTTTACCACAAAATTTTAAAAATTTTATAAACCATATTCATAGCACAAAGTCTCAAGATAATTATGCTTTCACATATAAACATTCTCTCATTGATAGCTCAAATAATTCAGAAAGTCAACAAACTTATAAGAAACGTTGTATGAAGAAAGCAGACCACAAAAGTTATAAATACTATAGGATTACAATTGCATGCAACTGTAGAAAAAAGCAAATATTATCTGTAACAAAAGAATTAAATCAACAGTTTATTTGGGATATGATTAATGGTTCTGAGAAAGCAAAGAGAAATTATAAATGGCCATGAGGTAACTTCCATTGTAACAGGTATGTTCATTATCATGTGTATAATGTTGTTCTCTGAGTCCATCCATATTTAAAAACTTAGCAAATTGTGTATCATGTATATATTGGAAATTATCATACATTGATTATATTTTTAACAAAGCATTAAAACAAATGTTGCACATAAATATCTGGCCATTCATTCATTTTAGAAAACTATATTTGGCATCTACCTCCTTACATTGACACTGTGTCTTTCTAGATAATACAAATTACGGGTCCACCTATGTTAGCAGTGCACATAAGGCCAAATCTGGGCTGAGCATTGTTTCTGCCATCCTATTGCTCCTTCAGAGGCATTCAACTTGGAGGTACAAACAAGGGCTACCCACCTTTTAATATAGTAGACATTAGTAGTGTTCTTAACCTACTCCTCACAGTAATCAGAACACCAAAGATTAAAGACAGACTTGTTACTAACACCCTTAGTATCACATGAACCAGAAAAATGCACAGTGGGTAGTTGCATGGGGTTAACATGGAGGGTGGACAAATCCATAACGAACATCACATTAGACTGATTAATATCCCTGAGAAAGAAACATTCACAGTAAGCAACCCCCTACTTAGATTGCCATGGACAAAGATAGGTTATATCCAGAGCTACACTCATCACAGGGCAGTGCCACCTTCCCATGGCCTCAAGAACTCCGGATTCCCTTCAGAACCTGGAAAAAGAGGTATGCTTTCCCTGAGATGGTAGAGTGGGTGATACACTCTGGAGGCTGTAGATTAGGCAAAGCTGAGATGGCTTGTCTCAAGCTCAGGCAATGAAAAACTGGATTCAGTTTAGCTCTTGAAAGCATCCAATACATCTAGCTATAATAGGTCCCCAGAGTGACCATTTGGATGAATGAAGTTCAGCATCTGCCTGCTGCTTCTTCATAAAGCCTACCGTCATAGCTTTTCTCTGCTGTATGTAGGTGTGTTGAACAAGAAGGATGCACATTCTCTAAATTTTTTCCTCTGGTGTGTATTTTCTGATGCCGGATAAGGGTAGGCCTTTGACTAAAGGCTTTGCCACATTCATTGCATTTATATGGCTTATCTGGTTGGTGAACTTTCTGGTGCTGCCTCAGATTAGACCTTTGTCTAAAGGTTTTCCCACATTCGCTGCACTCATAAGGCCGCTCACCAGTGTGAAGCCTCCGATGGTTACTGAGGCTGGAACTTTGATTAAAGAATTTCCCACATTCACTACACTGGTAAGGCCGTTCACCAGTGTGAAGTCTTCGATGACTATTGAGGCTGGAACTCTGGCTAAACAACTTCCCACACTCAATGCACTCATAAGGTCGTTCACCAGTATGAACCCTCTGATGCTTTATGAGGTCAGAGCTTCGGCTGAAGGCTTTCCCACACTCACTGCATCCAAAAGGTCGTTCCCCAGTGTGAACTATATAGTGTTGAATGAGACTGGCAATGTGGGTAAAGAATTTCCCACATTCATTGCACTTATAAGGTCTTTCTCCAGTGTGAACTCTCCCGTGCTTAATTAGGCTAGAGTTGCAGTTAAAAGATTTCCCACATTCCCTGCATTCATAAGCACTTCTACCAGTGTGAACCCTCTTATGATGAATGAGGTTGGAACGTTGGCTAAAGAATTTCCCACATTCTCTGCACTCATATGGCTTTTCACCAGTGTGAACCCTCTTATGCTGAATGAGGTTGGAGCTTCGGCTAAAGAATTTGCCACAGTAACCGCACACGTGGGGGCTTTCACCACTGTGAACTCTCTGATGTTTCACAAGACTAGAGTATTGGCTAAAGAATTTCCCACACTCAGAGCACTCATACGGTTTTCCTCTATTGTGAACTCTCTGGTGTTGTATGAGGCTAGAGGCATTGCTAAAGAATATCCCACACTTGCTGCATTCATAAGGCCTCTCTCCACTTTGGACTCTCTGTTGATATGCAAGTGTAGATGTGTCATTTAAAGCATGCCTAGATTGACTGTTCTTGTCATGCCTTTGGGCAGTGGGAAAATACAATGCACCTCTGGAATTCTTTTGTGCCTTCCCTACAAGGGGAGTGATCTGATAATGCACGAGGTCTGATGTGGTCACAAAGTCCTCCTTCCCCTCCCCACACATGAAAGGCTTTTGGGATGTGTGGTCTGTATGGGCCCTTCCAGGAGAAGCCCTGCCCTCTCCCCTTCTGGTAGGCTTGTCTTCATTCTTCTGCACCTGTTGCTGGAGAAAATTTGTATTGAATTTGACCCTTGTCCTGTTTGCCTCATATACACAAGGCTTCTGCCTGGCATGTGTTGCCTGGCATTCATCTAGGTATAAAATGTCTTTCAAGTGTAGGTCACATGTGCCACAAGAGTAGCTCTTCTGCACAGACAGAGCTGTCTTGGGATTCCTATCCTGTGATCTTCCTTGTACAAAAATATTCTGTTCAGAACGTAGCACTGTACCCTCTCTTCTACAGCAAAAATCTGCAAACAGAGAAATAGTGGTTAAATCAAATAAATTCTGACAGAAGGAAATAGCTTCACCATCACATGTCCCTGATGGATCTCAGAATGAGTCTTTAGGAACCTGGACAGGATGAGAAGGAATGGCTGGCTCCTGGTATTACTGCGACTTGCCAGGGGAGGTCTCTATCACAAGCATGGTATAGTACTGAGAAGAGAGGCAGGGTCCCCCACTCACTCCTCTACAAAGCCTTAGGGCAAGGAATTGGCTTCTGAGAAACTAAAGACCACAAGGCAGGTAAGACTGGCTAGATCCAAGAGATTCTGACTACAACTAACTGGCTGGTGTTCAAAGAACTCAAGGAAACATGCTCTTCTCAGGACACATGGAGTCCAACAGGGAAGACTGCTGTAGAGGCTGCTGTGGGAGGATTAAGATGAGGAGGCCAGAAGGGTGGGGCCAGATATTCAAATGGGCAAGCTCTCAAGAACTGGCGATGCTATGGAAGAGATAACAAAAGAAACTAGTATGATCTGGATACAGTCATGATGTCACATCCTCCCCCAGCTCCCACTTACCAGAGCCAGGCCTGCTAAAAGCTCCTCTTGCCATAGCTGAAGTCATGCCCACTCTGTCAGGAACCCCAAGTTCTTTCCCCATCTTGAGTTGGGCAATGACATGGCACCTGAAAGATGTGAGCCCTAAGGGAAAGATGGGCAGGGGAAATAAACCAGAACAGACCACAGGAAAACTCAGTATTAAATATTGTACATACAAGCAAAGTCTGATAGACACAGCCCAGTCATTTGCAGGTAGAGACCAAATTAGTGCATGGAATAGTTCTGCACAGTCTTGTACAGTATATGTTAGCAAAAGGAGGAGAAGAACATGAACCACAGGAAGGTCAGAGTCTGACAGTCACCCAGGTGAGAAATGACAGGTGGAATGAGCTCTATGGAGCTAATCACAAGGCTCTTTCTGCCTGGACCCTTCTCTGTACAGCTCTGACCAGGGGGTGTGGGGCGGCTCAGGAAGGGGAGGCACTGCGTGAGGCACTGCCCTGGAACCCACTGGAACCCACAACACACAGAACAGGAACACAGGGAGCAGTGTTCATGGTGGTGGTGTTGGAAAGACAGCTGTCTCTTGTGCAAAGGGGACAGGCAGGCAGGACCTCAGAACACCTGGGCAAGTGTGATGGTCTTACCCAAAGAGGCTATGAGTGCAAAGTTCTCCAGCATCACATCGCAGTAGAGGAGTCTCTGTGCCTCACTGAGCAGTCCCCATTCCCCCTGGGAGAAGTAAATGATCACGTCCTCGAAGGTCACACAGCCCTGCTGTGATGGGGACAGTTCATTCCATGATCAGCCTCAATTCTCAGGCCTCCCTTTCCACTCCTCACTCATGCTCTCTCACACCCTTCTTCCCAGCTCCAAACAGAGGCTAGGTCCTGGTTCCACTAATACTGGCTTTCTTTTCATGTCTCACCTGTTCACCTTGTCAGCCTACAGTGAGAGAAGCAGGAGGGCAGAGAGTTGGCATCTAAGGTCTGGGCCTGAAGTGTAGGGCATGAGCCCTTCCTGCGAGCTTCTCTTCCTAAATTTGCAATGTCATGCTTCTTAGATACATTCCAATGGGGGCTTGGTCTTCGCTCTCAGTTTCCTGCCAAGGCCCACTCCTATTTGCACCTTGTGCTTTGCCCTGTACTTTCCTCATAGTTCTGGACCCTGCTCTAAATTCCCATAGCCACAGCTACCCTCTCCCCATTCTTGCCTACCTCTCGGCCACATTTGTGGACTCCTGTGTGTCACTTTGTACAGTTTACCTGGGGAGATCCTGGCCAGTCATGATACTATTCTGTCTAGGCCTTTGATGGTGCCCACTGTGCCAAGCTTAATACTCATTTTTGCTTTGGAGGCTGCCCCACTTGGCCCTCTTACTGGGTTAAAACCACACTGAGCACACACAAATGCCAGGCACCTTGGTACTCTTCTGTGTTCATGCTCTCCCTTCATCCCTCACACTTAAAAACCAACCCTTTTGAGCCTCCTTCCTTATCTCTCTCTTTCTTTCTTTCTTTTTACAGTTTGTGTTTTGAATTGTCGCTGTTGAAGACCTGGACCCAAGACTGGGGTTTGCTGTACAGGAAGTGGTGGAACTTTAGGACATGGCACCTAATTGAAAAAAGGTAGATCACAATGGGTTTTACTCCTGAAAGAAATATAGGGATCTTGGTCCCTCTTTTCTTTCTACCCTGGCCTCTCTCTGTCAGCAAGTCTAAGCAATCTCATTTGTCCCTACCTAACTGCTCAGCTCAACTAAGAAAACTCCATGATACATCAAGAGCCACCACAAAAGCTTCGGAGAACACAGACTGGTGAGTAAGCACTGCTCTAAGCCACAAGACAGCATCACCTCCATGGCTCCCAAGCCTCAGCATCCATCTCCTAGCTGGATCAGGTCACCTGCCACATGGCCTTATCCCCCCACATCCTCATTCCATGACACTGTTTCTTGTTTTTATAATACTAAACAATACAGAAACAGGTGCCTAGACAAGATCTCATGCTCTAAGCCCTCCAGGCTCACATTCTTTCTTCTTAGAACACTGCCACCATGGCCTGAACATTCACTGTCTTAAATCTCTTGCCCACATGCTCTTGCCCATATCTTGATACCACAATTTGGATGTTTTATGGAAATAAAGACCAACCAGACAAGAAAAGCTGAGGATATTAATCCATTGCTTACTGTCGCCAAGAAGCCAGCCACCATCACTGAAGGCTTCTCAGAGCTAAAGGCAGGCACCACAAGGGCAGAGTGTTGTAATGGAGGAAAAGGAGTGGCCGGCGAGTACCTTGACTGGTGGCTGTCTGTTAGGGACCTCAAACTAAACGCTGGGCCTCATATAAGATTGATTATGTGAGCATCTTTGGCTTTCTGCAGTTGATCCTAGACTGAACATAAGAATAAAATCAAAGAAACTGTCAATTTTTTGGGAAGCCCACTCAAAAAAGATTTTGTTTAACTTCCTGTAAAAGAAGATTTTGTTTAACTTTCTGGCTTGTCATTAGAGATAGCAATCTGGTTTCCTGCCAGTTAGACTCACAGTAAGCAGGCTTCCTGTCTTTTGATTATTGAAGACAGGGTGTTTTCCTGAACACGTGGTGGGCCAGAGCTCTATTTTTAGACATTGTCTGGCAATTGTCTGAGCTGTACATTGTCTCTCAGGACCTCAATTCATACCTCCCTAAAATGGAGTAACTGTGTTAAACCACTGTTGAAATCTATTCAGGTTTTGTGGGGCATCAATCAGAGACTCAACACATCCCAAACCCAACTTCTGCTATTTCTGCTTAAAATTCCTACCGCAGCCACTTCCTTCTCTCTCTTTGCTGGTGATATGTTGATACTTCTACCTAAGAAGCAAACCACAGAGCATGCCTCCTCTTCCTCACCCTCCACATCAGATAACCTGGTCAGCCTGTTTCTGAAAGACAAGAAACACATCTGCAGTTCTATCTGGTCTGGCCACCAGGATCACTGACATTGAAGGTGGAAGAGAGCGCTCCAAGACCTCCCTGCTTTCATCCTCACCCTACACATGGGTTCAACTCTGCAGCCACAGAGACACTAGTAAGACTTAACTTCTATCATCTCCCTCCTCTGCTTTAAACTGTCCACAGCACCCAGTGTCCTTAGAATAAATAGCAGCCCTGCTCCTTAGCGCTATCTGGATGCTATTTGGTCCCAGCAGATACTGCCGTCACTGAGTTTCCTGAACACTTCCAACTCAGTCCCTGCCTCAAGCATCTCCATGCACGTTCCTAGGCTCAGGAAATCCTTTCCTCAACTTTCAATACTCAGGAGTGGAGACGATCCTACAGATTGTCCAACCCAAAATCAGGTCACAAGCCAAAATGAACTCTTCCTAAGTATCTGAGTTAAGAAACGGAGAAGGAAAGGCGAAAGATCTAAAAACAGCACCATCCTTCCTGTGTTGGCACCAGGACCAACAGGGTGGAATCCCACAGCAGAGGGTAGAAGCCGCCCACTCACCTGCACCAGGTCCCTCTGAGCTGACGCCGCCACCAGGGCCTCGGGCCCCAGCAGGGCCTTCAGACGCTGGCGACCAAGCCGGCTCCCCGCACGGGCTCAGCCCACCACCCACGCTAAAGCGTCCGGGCCGAGGCTCGCGTTCCCGGCCTCAATCCCTCACTCAAAGGCGCACCCCTGCACACCTGCGGAACACCCACTGTCAGGGCTCGCAGCTGCCGCAAAGGCGCGGCACGGGCTCCGAACCGCACCGCCCCTCCCGCAAGGTCCCCGCCAGCCCCAGCCCGGTCCTCGGCCGCCGGGAGCAGTCATCGGGAACCCCGGGCCCACTCCGCCAGTGAAACTCCGTCGCGGCCCCCGCACCAGCTGGCCCCACCCGCGCCCCACCCAGCAGCACGCGAACAACCGCCTCCCGCGACCCGGCGTCCATGTCCCGCCCCAGGCCTCCGAGGGAACGGGGCGGGGCTCGCGCGCTCCTCCTTCTCCTCCTCCTCCTCCTCCTCCGCCCCGAGGCCCCCACCCAGCTCGCCTCTTAAAGGGGCCGCTCCCGGGCCGCGGTGGCCACCTCCGACCACAGCAGCGCCAGACCCCTGCGCCTTGCGGCCCCGCGGGCTTCCGCCAGGCGCTTCGCCTCTCACTCAGGGACCTAGATGCATGCTGATTGCAGCCAATCGGTGGAATCTTTGTTTGCTAACTCTATGAGTTCTCGTTTAGTGTCTCTCAGGCGAGTAACGCTGGCGTCGCTGGGCATTTGTTAGAAATGAAGGTGGGAGGCAGCAGCTCAAACGTAGGGCCTCCAGAGGTTCGGGAGCTGAGGCGGGGTGAGGGGCAGGAGGCGAGGGAAAGAGTTGGGACTCAGCCTTCCAGTTTCTCACTAGCCCTTGAGGAACACTAGTACTGCTACGGTGTGAGAACAGAGATTCAGCCTCACAGTGGCATCCTAACAATGCGCACCTCACGGGGTGACAGGCGACCTAGCAGGCACGAAGTCCTTGTTCATCATGTAAAAGCTGTTGTCACCATCCTACAACTCTAACAAGCACTGCTGGGGAGGGCAGCCCGAGCCGCTTCTCTGCGGGGTCGACTGGGACACTGGCCAGCATATGAGACACGGGCTGGGGAGGGGCTTGGCTGCACTTGTGAGGTGCACCAAGCAGGCCCTTGAGCGAAAACGCGGTTATACCATTTGGCGCCTTTTTATCTTTTTTTCTTTGCTTTTTTTTCCTTTAAAAAGAAAACATAACCAGCAGTTTTTAAAATTTATTTTTAAATAAAAGACTATTTGAAGGGGAGAAAGGGAGAGAGAAAGAGCGAGAGCTACTCTGGACAAGCAGGGAGTATTCGAAATGGAAACGCTCCTAATTTTTAAGTATATTAAAGACTAAAATTATACCTATGCATCATGTACGACACGATGCTGTGAAATTCACCGCCCTATGGAGTTGCTGAATCGAGCTGGTGGCCTCACCTTTCAGACACAGGACCCCTTCTGGTTCGTGCCATCTCTCTACATTTTGCTAGATGCTGATGAAGACGAGTAGAAAAGAGGCCCCTGCCATCCCATGGGCACAGGGACCTTCTCAGAGAGGTTTGAGAAAGGGGCCCACGGTGCCTGGCAACTTATGAGTCCCGTATGTTAGTCGTCTGAGAGGCATTAAACGAGAACACGTAGAGTTAGCAAACAAAGATTCCACCGATTGGCTGCAATCAGCGTGCATCTAGGTCCCTGAGTGAGAGGCGAAGCGCCTGGCGGAAGCCCGCGGGGCCGCAAGGCGCAGGGGTCTGGCGCTGCTGTGGTCGGAGGTGGCCACCGCGGCCCGGGAGCGGCCCCTTTAAGAGACGAGCTGGGTGGGGGCCTCGGGGCGGAGGAGGAGGAGGAGAAGGAGGAGCGCGCGAGCCCCGCCCCGTTCCCTCGGAGGCCTGGGGCGGGACGCGGACGCCGGGTCGCGGGCGGCGGCCGTTCGCGTGCTGCGGGGTAGGGCGCGGGTGGGGCCAGCTGGTGCGGGGGCCGCGACGGAGTTTCCCTGGCGGAGTGGGCCCGGGGTTCCCGATGACTGGCTGCGCTCCCGGCGGCCGAGGACCGGGCTGGGGCTGGCGGGGACCTTGCTGGAGGGGCGGTGCGGTTCGGAGCCCGTGCCGCGCCTTCGCAGCAGCTGCGAGCCCTGACAGCGGGTGTTCCGCAGGTGTGCAGGGGTGCGCCTTTGAGTGAGGGACTGAGGCCGGGAACGCGAGTCTCGGCCCGGACGCTTTAGCGTGGGTGGTGGGCTGAGCCCGTGCGGGGAGCCGGCTTGGTCGCCAGCGTCTGAAGGCCCTGCTGGGGCCCGAGGCCCTGATGGCGGCGTCAGCTCAGAGGGACCTGGTGCAGGTGAGTGGGTGGCTTCAACCTTCTGCCCAGCAATTCAGCAGCAAGCTCAGAACAGGTAACATCCTCTGAACCATAGAGATGGTAAGCTTGGAATTTATCCGTAGCTCATGAACAGGAAAGGAAAGAGGGGAAGCATATCAGCACTTTTCTCAAGTGCATCCAGGCCTGCAGAAATCTAATTTCCTGCTTCCCATCCCCCACTCCATTTGAGATTTTCAAATTTTGAGGCAGTAGGACTCTGTTATTGTAGTTACTTCCTGGTGAGAAGGGGCAGTTGAGAGACAGCGCTCTCACTTGTGCTGACTGGCAGGGGTCTAGAAGGTCCATCAGCGGGCTGTCAGAGCATGTAGAGAGGGATAGGGTGTAAAGGAGAGATGGAGTTAAGGAAACAGTTTAAAGTATGAGGGTAAATATAAAAAGCAGAATTAAATAGTGAACCATTTCCATCGTGAGGACTGGGAAAGCCATGCCCTCATCATTGTTCAGAAATGGGGGCGCAGGGAGGCGTAAGGTCAGGCGTGCCTTGGATTTGTTTTAAGTCCAGTGCGGCCCAGAAGTACAAAACTGGGTAACAGTCCACAAACCAGCATGCATTGCCTTATTTACTTGACAGATTATGGACAGAGAAAACATCAGAAACCAATAATAAAACATTATTTGCCTGTTCACGACTGGTATGTCATAGTAAAATGACCATAGTGAAAAACAAGGAGGGTGGCAACTGAACTATTACTATAAATAGATTTCTTTTAATTAGGTCTGTTGTAAACAGCAGCAGGTGCGCCCATAGCACCTACAAGTTCACAGGTTACAATAAGGTTACGGTTAAGAGATTAATACCCAAGGTGCACACAACCTTGTGTTGGGCTGTAAGGTGGGATAGTGGGGCGTTTGGATGCTCATTTAAACAGATGTTTGACAGTACCCAGGTGCAGGTAGCCAGAGGCCTGTAGGCATTTGCCCTGTGGAGGGGTTTTCTTCCGTGGCTTGGCTTAGGAATAATAAGTTGAGCTCAAATCCCTAGAACCTTGATGGCTATCGAAGAGAAAAGTACCTTTCCATAAAGGGGTTAGCTGTTGGTCCTGTGGGGGCTGCTCAGGTTTTTATATATCTGTGACAATATTTAAAATCCATGGTTCTTAATTGCCTGTTGAAAAATATATAGTGTAGACAGAAATTAGCCCAAGAATTGAACCTCTCCATCTAGTTAGATGGCTATGTACAAGAAAAGCCAACCATGTAATCCTTCAAATGGGCCAAGGCCCAGTGCAGCAGTAGGGTCTATGAGAGTTCTTAGTAGAGCTATAAGTAAGATTATCTTCCATGAAAGGTGAGTTTCTTGACATAGCTTTCTTATGTACTGTGAATGTTTAATTGGCGTTTTCTACCTTGTCTGAAGACTGAGATCTCCAAGAGTAATGAAGATGGCATTTAAATTCCAACTGCATCCCCTAGAAGTGAAAGATGGGCAGTTAAGACTTTGAGAAGTCTGAATCAAGCAATGGTTTCTTACAGAACTGCTATATGAAGGTATCAGTGAGATACCTAACTAGATACCTAAACTCTTGGCACAGAAGCATCTGGGTAAAATATATTTACCAATCTTTACTTGAGCATTATCCATGTCTTTGAGTTGGAGCCATCAAGGGGGAGAAGATTTATACCCATGGGGAATGTTAAGGACTCATACGGCTAAGCTTGTGACACTTGAATCCCTTTGCCATAAATACCTGTTTTCATGCTTGATATAGCCAGTTTTGCCTTAATGGATAAGGATCATGTGATTTGTTAATAGTTTTGCATTACACTGACCAGGAAAAAAGAAGGGCTGCTGATTGAACCACCCAAGTGTAACTACAGGCCAGAGCCCCAGAGAAGACCTCATATAAGTAGGAAAAGGTAGATGAAGTCCTAATGTGGGGATTAGAAGCAGTATAGGTTTAGGATTGTGGACTCAATGAGAAGACCAAGACCTTGTTGGTGTGTGTCTGAGAAGCAGATTACTGAAGCATTAGGGGACTGGGCGAGCACAGGTTTGGGCCCTGCACTTCAGACCCAGACTTCAGATGGCAGCCCTCCTTTCGCCTGTCACTGCTGTGGGCTCAAACGGTGGTCATGTGAGGCATTTTTTTTTTAAAGCCAGTATTAATCTATCCAGGGCATAGTATCTTCTTAGAGCTGAGAAGAGCAAAGGAACAGGATGAGTAGGGAGTGGAGAGGGAGGCCTGAGGATTGAGGCTGATCATGGAATGAACTGTCCCCATCACAGCAGGGCTGTGTGGCCTTCGAGGACGTGACCATTTACTTCTCCCAGGAGGAATGGGGACTGCTCAGTGAGGCACAGAGGCTCCTCTACTGCGATGTGATGCTGGAGAACTTTGCACTCATAGCCTCTTTGGGTAAGACCATCACATTTGCCCAGGTGTTCTGAGGTCCTGCCTGCCTGTCCCCTTTGCACAAGAGACAGCTGTCTTTCCAACACCACCACCATGAACACTGCTCCCTGTGTTCCTGTTCTGTGTGTTGTGGGTTCCAGTGGGTTCCAGGGCAGTGCCTCATGCAGTGCCTCCCCTTCCTGAGCGACCCCACACCCCCTGGTCAGAGCTGTACAGAGAAGGGTCCAGGCAGGAAGAGCCTTGTGATTAGCCCATAGAGCTCATTCCACCTCTCATTCCTCACCTGGATGACTGTCAGATCTCTGACCTTCCTGTGGTTCATGTTCTTCTCCTTTTGCTAACATGTACTGTACAAGACTGTGCAGAACTATGCCATGCATTAATTTGGTCTCTACCTGCAAATCACTGGGCTGTGTCTACCAGACTTTGCTTGTATGTACAATATTTTAATACTGAGTTTTCCTTCCTGTGGTCTGTTCTGGTTTATTTCCCCTGCCCATCTTTCCCTTAGGGCTCACATCTTTCAGGTGCCATGTCATTGCCCAACTCAAGATGGGGAAAGAACCCTGGGTTCCTGACAGAGTGGGCATGACTTCAGCTATGGCAAGAGGAGCTTTTAGGAGGTCTGGCTCTGGTAAGTGAGAGCTGGGAGAGATTGTGACATCATGACTGTGTCCAAATCATCCCAGCTTTTTTTCTCATACTTATCATTGTTTGTGTGAATGCTACCGTCTCCTCTTCATCTCTACCTTTCCCTGTTCTTGAGGGCTTGCCTATTTGAATCTCTGCTCTTGACTGTGGGCTTCTGGCTTTCCTCAGCTTTTTGGCCTCTGTGTTCCAGTCCACAACAGGGGCCTCTGCAGCACTCTTCACTGTTGGATTCCACTTCATATGTCCTGAGAAGAGTGTGTTTCCTTGATGTCTTTAACATCAACCAGTTAGTTGTAGTCAGATTCTTTTGAGCCTGCCCATTTTTTACTTTTATTCTATTTTTTTGTCTTTTTGAGACAGGATTCCACTGCAAAGTTCATACTGGTGTTGAAACTCACCTTGTAGCCCAGGCTGGCCTTGAATTTGCAGTGATTCTCCTGCCTTGGCCTCCTAAGTGCTGAGATTACTGGAATGCACTATGATACCCAGCCTGGCCTGGCCATTCTTATCTGTGTCATGGCCCTCACAGTTTCCCAGAAGCCAATACCCTACTCTGACGCCTTTGTAGAAAGTGAGACCCTGCCTCTCTTCCCATCCTGTGGTATAGATATCTTGTTTTATGACCTTCCTGGCCAGGCACAATAGTACAGAGAGCCAATCATTTTTTACCCTGAGGTTTCCCTTTACCCTAAGGTTTCTCATCTTGCGAAGGTTCCAAAGGACTCATTCTGGGATCAGACAAGCATATGTGATGGGGCTATTTTCTTCTATCAGGGTTTGTATGACTTGATCATAATTTCTCTAATTGTAGCTTTTTCTTTGGAACAGAGGAGAAGGAGCTACCTTCTGAGAAAAACATTTCTATAAAAGAAACATCACAGAATGAGAATCCAAAGACACCCACGTCTATGCAGAAGACCTACCCCTGTGACACATTTGACCTACACTTGAAAGACATTTTGTACCTGGCTGAACATCAGACAACCCATGCCAGGCAGAAGCCCTGTGTGTATGAGGCAGTTAGGACAGGGTTCAAGTTTAACACAAACCTTTGTCAGCAACAGGTGCAAAAGAATGAGGACAAGTCTGCCAGAGGGGAGGAGGGCAGGGTCTCTCTGGGAAAGACCTGCACAGACCACACATTACAGAAGCCTTTCATGTGTGGGGAGGGCAGGGATAACTTTGTGGTCACATCAGATTTTGCGCAGCACCAGATCACTCCCAGTGTGGAGGAGGCACACAAGAATTCTGATGGTGCATTAAATTTTCCCACTGCTAGGGATACTGTCAGTGATGCATCCACACTTGTTCATCAACAGAGAGTCCACAGTGGAGAGAGGCCCTATGAATGCAGCAAGTGTCTGATAATCTTTAGTGATGCTTCTAGCCTCAAGCAACACCAGAGAGTTCACAGTAGCAAGTCTTATGAGTGCTGTGAGTGTGGGAAATTTTTTAGCCGGCACTTCTGTCTTGTGGAACATCAGAGAATTCACACTGGTGAAAAGCCATATGAGTGCAGTGAATGTGGGAAGTTCTTTAGTCAGCACTCCAGCCTTTTTCAACACAAGAGGATTCATACTGGAAGACGTGCTCATGAGTGCAGGGAATGTGGGAAATTCTTCATCTGCAACTCCAGCTTAATTAAGCATGGGAGAGTTCACACAGGAGAAAGACCTTATAAATGCAAGGAATGCGGAAAATCATTTAGGCAGATTTCCAATCTCACCCAGCATCAGAGAGTTCACACTGGAGAACAACCTTTTGAGTGTGAGAAATGTGGGAAAGTCTTCAGCCGAAGCTCCAATCTCATGAACCATCAGAGAGTTCACACTGGTGAAAGGCCTTACAAGTGCACTGAATGTGGGAAGATGTTCAGCCAAATCTCCCACCTCAGGATCCATCAGAGACTCCACACTGGTGAACGGCCTTACCAGTGCAGTGAATGTGGAAAATACTTTAATCAAAGTTCCAGCCTTAAAGCCCATCAGAGGTTTCACACTAATGAACGACCTTATGAATGCAGTGAATGTGGGAAAGCCTTTAAACAAAGCTCAAATCTGAGGCAGCATCAAGTAGTTCACAAACCAGACAGGCCTTATAAGTGCAGTGAATGTGGGAAAGCCTTCACCCAAAACTCCACTCTCAATAATCATCGCAGGCTTCACACTGGTGAACGGCCTTATGAGTGTAGAGAATGTGGGAAAACCTTCAGACAAAGGTCTAATTTGAGTGAGCACCAGATAGTTCACAAACCAGACAGGCCTTATAAGTGCAGTGAATGTGGCAAAGCCTTCAGCCAAAAGCGCACCCTCATTCAACATCAAAAAATTCACACCAGAGAAAGGAATGTAGAGAATATGCACCTGGCTTGTTGAACACAGCTGCACATAGCAGAGAAAGAGTGTGTGTGTGTTACAGTGGGTTTAATGGAGTGTCAGCCATGTGGTCACATGGAGGAGATTCCTTATGAAAGTATGTGATGGGTGGTTTCAGGACCAAAGTCATAGTTGTCCATTTTATCACTGCTAAAGTTTGGGATAGAAACTATCTCAACTTGGCCCACCAGCAGGTCTCCAGAGCATGTGTCACACACTCCACCATCTCAGGGAAAGCAGCACTTTGTTTTCTTTCTAGTCCCTGAATGGAACGTGATGTACTAAGGTCATAGAAAGATGTTCCCTTGTACATGACTATTTTTTAGCTATGGATGTGACCTGTTTGGAGCCATGATGATCTAAATGGAGTTCTACTGTCATTGAGATGGTTTCTTTTTGGGGGGATATTCAGTGGTCTAATGTGATGGATTTATGTGACCAGACCCAAATACCTAAAATACATCGGTCAGTTCCTGTTATATGAGGAGCCTTACTGATTAAAGCATGTTTTATCTTCCTTCTGATCACTGTGAGAGTAGTTCGAACAGAGGACAGAGCTAAGTAAGGTCTATTAATGAACAGCTCCAAATTGTATGTGCTTCAGAAGTGACAGTAGGATAGCAGAAAACAGCTTTCAGCCCAGATTTGGCCTTAGAATAATGGCTAAGTAGGGCTTTCTAGGAAAGACTGTCTTGCTTTTTGGGTCTGTATTGAAGTCCTGAATGCTATGAATTTTCATGGCCCAAATGGCGTGAATTCTAATCCTAAGAGGTAGCAGTTGTGGCTACCTCCAGGGCATCTGAGAGCAATGTCAACTGGGTCCCTTACCTCTAGCAGTGATGGCAAGCCTTTTAGAAATCCATGTGCCCAAGCTGCAACCCAAAGCCCACTTGTTTATCATAAAATGCCAGCACTCTAAATTGAACCTGAATGTGCAACTGCTGGTGCAGTGCTGGGGGCACTTGGTTTGGGTGCCAACAGAGAGGGCTCTGCATGCCCACCATGGAGTACATGCCATAGGTTCATCACAACTGTCCTAATTGCTTTTCATCTGTTACCTGCCAAGGAGTCATAATGCTGTGAATTTCTGCATTTGTTATACAGATGTATTTACCTTTAAGACCTGGTAAGTCCCGAAGAGTCCATAATTTGTACAGAAACACACAGTGTGACTATAGAGAGTGGGTGAGACTGTGGGGATGGAACTGTTCTAAAAACGTATCCTCAAGTGTTCCTTTGGATGTCACTGTGTAGAATTGAGGACTTGTATCTAGATGTTCCCCCCAAAGGCTCATGTGGTCATAGGTGGGAAGTTATGAAGGTGGCTGGATTAGTGTGTGTGAATGTGGATTCAAGGTGTGATGTTGGGGTTAAGGGTGTCACCAATCAATAGGCTTATAGTGTGGGTGAACTATGAAAGCAGAATTGTTGCTGCTGCTGCTGCTGCTGCTTCTGATTTGCTGCCTCCTGCCTGCTTACCATGGACTGTTTCTTATCAGTGATGCGCCTCTTCCATACTGCCTTGCCTTGGAGCGAGCCAACTGTGGACAGAAACCTCTACAAGCTGACTTGAAATAAACCTTTTCTCCTTTAACTATGGGTGTTGGATATTTTGTTTCCACAAGAAAAGTTAGATTTTGTTACAGGAAGCAAGATGGTAGCTATGATACCACCTGACCACGTGGTTCAGGAGACTTTGGAACTGGCTTGTAGAAAGAGTTTGGAAAGATTTGGAGATGCTGGTTGAAGAAGCAGCACTGGAATGCTTTAAAGCCTATACTTGATGTGACATTCTGATCAGTGTTCAGAAGATCAGAATACTAATAGAAATGCAGCCAATAAAGACCAAGACCTAGAGGTTTCAGTTAGGAACAAAGATTGTATTGGCTGTTGGACTCCAGACCATATGTGTTATTGTTTAACAGAAAATTTGTCTGCATTTTGCTCACGTGTAGAGACTGCCAGACTGATCTTAAAGGCAGCAGACTAATCTTTTTTTTTTTTAAGATGGTCTCTATAGTTCAGGGTGTCCTTGAACTCACTGTATAACCCAGGCTGACTTCAAGCTTGTGGCAGTCTTCCTGACAGCCCCCAAAGGGCTGGAATTACTGGTATGTACTACCACACCTGGCACAGGGGTAATTAATCTTGCAGACAAAATTTTAAGGCAGTCTAATATTGGGGAAATGCAGTGGTTACTGTTAGGAGCTTTTAATCAGATATATGCTGAGAATTAAGAGCAAAGAGCTCAGCATAATGTTTTAAAATATTTTGAGTTTGCCCAGAAAGGAAGCTTCAGTAAAGTTACGGCCTGCAAAGATGGAAAAAATGAGAACTTGGCTGATGAGGAGGAACAGGACAATAGAAAAAATGATCTGAGAAAATCACAAAAACCAGTAGAACTCACAGTCTCAAAAGTGTAAAAGTGGAAGACTTCTTTGAAAAGAAAGCCTTGGAGACCATGTTCCAGCATGGAGGAGACCTAGGGAAGTTTTTCCTCAGGTTTTGGTTTCTAAAACTCATCAATCCAGGAACTTGATACCTACAGCCAAGAGAGAAGGAAACCTGGCTGCTGCTCCAACTCGTGGCAGAGTCTTGCATCCATGTGGTGCTGGATTTAGGTGGATGCCAGAGTTAGGAAGGCTTCCACCCAGATTTCAGAAGAAGGCCTAGGAGGCCAGGTAGCATGCCTCTCAGAGGGAAGCATGCGAAATTGTGAATATGAAGCTAAAGGTGCAGGGGAGACCCCAGAAGGTTGAACAATCCAGTTACATTGATTGTCTGTGAAAAGCTGCAAGGAATAAGCAAAGCTGGGCCAAGGGAGAAGTCATGAAAACTACAACTACTGGTGATGTACCACAGGGCAAGAGCCACCCTAGCCCTTTGGAGCTCACATCTTGCCACAGATTGCCCTGAATGCTGGACAGAGAACTATGGGGCTTAATGTTTGCCCAGCTGGAGTTGGGACCTGCTTTGCTCCCATTCCTTTCTATCCCCCATTCACACCTTTTGGAATAGGAAAGTTTTATCTTGTGTCATTGTATGTCAGAAGTGTTAGACTTTCTTGTCATTTGTGTAGAAATTCACAGCTAAGAGTTTGCCTTAAATCTCAGAGGAGACTTTGGCCTTGAACTTTCCAGCAATGTTGAAACTTCAGAACTTTAACAACTCTTAGAGATAGACTCAATGCCTTTTGAATAAAGGGATGTGCATGGGTCTTTGGAGGAGCTAGGGGTAAAATGTTATGGGTTGTATCTAGATGTTTCCCAGTGCCTCATGTGGTCATAGGTGGAGAGTTTCAAAAGTGGCTGATTAGGATGTGTGAATTTGGGTGGATGTGCCTGGCAGCAGTCAATGTGTTTATCGCCTGGATAAAATATAAAGTCAGGCTTTCTGCTACTGTGGTTATAGCTTGCTACTTTGCTGTCTCCTGCCTGCTTGCCATGGACTGTTTATGCTCTGTGATGCCCCTCTGCCATGCCATCTTGCCTTGCAGCCAGCCATCTATGGACTGAAATCTACAAACCTTGAGCTGAAATAAACATTTGCTCCTTTAATTTTGAGTGTTATGTATTGTCTCAACAGTGAAGTAACTAAGACTGAGGTTGCTAAAATTCTCAGGACCTTCAAACCACTTCTGTACAGAGCAAATAATATATAGGTTTTAAGGATTATTGCAGACTCTGTGCATTATGCCTCTCAAAGCCATTACTGGCCTTTCTGGTGGCAGGAAGATCCTGTTTCCCAGGATGGTGCGTTGTGATATAGCCAGCTGTTCTTTGCTGCTAAGGCATGAAGGGGGAGGTGGTAGAAAAGATAGCATTGTGAAATGTTTTGGTTTTCTAAAAAGTAGTCATTTTTATGGATAACAGTTTCAAAAGTATTTGGTTAAGATATAATTGTTATGAAATAGTTACACATATTTGATGCATAAAATTAAATGTTTTGATACACATGTACACTCAGGGAACCAACACTAAAATCATACAGTGAACATGTCTATCATCTTTAAAGGTACATTATGTCTCTTTATAATCCCTCCCTACTTTTAGGAAGCTATTAACTACATTCCAGGGAAACTCATTTAACTTTTTTGATTATGGATTCATTTGCATTTTTTAGAATTTTTTACAGTTGTAATAATAAAGTATTCATGCTTTTTTCTGATTTCTTTCATACAGCATTATTATATTTTTTTTACAATTAGGTTGATTTTCTAAATTCTTTTAAATTTGATTAAGAGAAAGCACTTATATATGAAAACATTACCTTGAGAATCTCCATGCCATGTGTGTATATAGTTTATCCAATTTACTGCTGAGCAGGAACCTATTAAATAAATACACCACCCTTTTATGGTTTATTGAACTATTAAAATACATATAAATTCACAATATTAACCATTTTAATTGTTATAGTGCTATTAAGCATATTCACATTGTTTGCAACCATTATCATCCTTCATCTGAAGAATGCTTCATTTTGCAAAACTTAAAATATTAATGACTACAACATCTCTACTTGTGCCACAATCTCTGGAAATTATTATACTATTTCCTGCCTGTTTAAGTACTCTTAAGTACCTTAAAAGTAGTGTTTGTTCTTTTACGCCTCATTTATTTTACTTAATGTAAGTGTCTTAGTTTCTTTTTACTCGTTGCTGAGACAAAATACCTGATGCACCAAGTTGGGAAAGGAAAGGTTTATTTCTTACAGTTTTTGGAGGTTTCAGTCCATAGTCAGTTGCTCCAAGGCAGGATGGCATGGCAGGGCCGCAGTTCATGGTGGCTGCAAACAGCAAGGCAGAAACCAGCAAAAGAACGACACACCTTCTTCTTGCCATTACATCACATCCTGGCTCCACCTTTATGTGGGTGTTGCACTGACACCATCAATCCAAGCACTAGACAATGAACCAATCACAAATACACTATGCAAACTCATGAGGCCTGGGGCCACCAACATAAACCATGACAGTAAGTTTTCAATATTCCTCAGTGTTATAGCACGTCATAATTTTCTATTTTCTAAAACTGAATAAGAAGCTCCCAGCCCTGAAAATAAATTGCATATATTTAAAAAAATTCTCAAATGTTTTATTATCTTTTATACTACTATAAGTGGAATTTTGCTTTGTTTTGTTTTGTTTTGTTTTTTTGATTCTTTGAGACAGGGTCTCATTATGCAGTTCAGGCCAACTTGAACTCATTGTGTAGCTCAGGCTGGCTTGAAACTTATAGTGTTTCTCCTGCCTCAGCTTCCTGAATGCTGGGCTTACAGACATGCACCATCACACCTGGCTTAGAAATGTAATTTTACTTATTTATTTAGAGTCAAGATTTTGCTATGTAGCCCAAGCTGGCCTCAAAATCATGGTGATCCTCCTGCCTCCGCCTTCCAAGTGCTGGTATTACAGGCATTTACCACCATGCCCAGCATTTTACATTGAATTTTAACCACAGATATCATATTATTTACTGGTACTGTAACAGTAACTCCATTTTCTGTGTTGAGTTTGTATCTTCCTATTTGGCTACGTTCATTTATCATAGTGAAATAATGAGAGGTGAAGTCTGTAGATTTTTCTACATATAATATCTCCTGGGAGCAGAAATAGTCCTTTATAATTTGGATTTCTTTTTCTTTCTTTCTCTCCTTCTTCTTCCCTCCTGCCCTCCCTTTGTTTCTTCTTTTGTCAAGTTGCTCTTTCTAGAATGTCCAGTAGTATATTGAAGATAGAAGGGCACATTTTTGTTACTGATTAAAAAGCTTTTAGTTTTTTACCACTGAATATAATTTTTAGCTGTGAACTTTTTTGAAAGGAGCTTTTTTAATGCTGAAGTAATTTCTTCTATTCCTAATTTATTGAGTGTTTTTTAAAACCATAAAATGGTGTTGAATTTTGTCAAATCTTTTCTGTTTCAAATAAGATGATCATGTAGTTTTTTCCTCATTCTACACTGACCAATTTTCATGTGTTGAGGCTCTTTGCATTCCAGCAATGAATTCCACTTGGCCATGATATATAATCTTTTAAATATGCTACTGAACTTTGTTTGTTTGTTTGTTTGTTTGCATCATTGTTCATAAGGGACTTTGGTATGTAATTTTCCTGTTTCTGGTGTCAGGTATCAGGAAATGCCAGCATTATATAATAAATTAGGAAGTACAGTGATCCCTCTGTTTGTAAACCATTCAGTCCATGATTTTGGGGAAGGTGATATTGTTGTGTTCATCACCCAGTGCAGCGTCTGTGAATGGAAGCAAAATTTTGCTGAATGTTTCTCTTTTGACTGAATTGTTCCTAGAAAGAAGCATTGCACCCCAAAGTGCCACTGTATTTCCTCTTTCAATTTTTTTGGGAAAAGTTTGAGAAGGATGGGCATCCTTTTTTATTTTTTTCCCCAAAAGTCCTTTATTTTACCTGATGACCAATCAGGCAATTAATACAATCCTTGTGGTTTTAATATCTAGAAGGCTCTAAAATGGACTACAAAAATGTCAACCCTCTTTTGTCAAAGGCCTGAAGGGCAAGCAAGGGCAAGGACTGGCCCCTTTTCCTCCCCTCAAGGCAGGCACAAGTGGCTGATGAGG